AGGGGATGCATTCGATGGGGAAGTGCTGGCGGACGAGGTCGGTAAACTGGTGAGTGCGGATATGGAAAAGTTTGTAACTGCATGGCTGTTTGTACCGGATCCGCTGGAAACAATGCCAACATTATTGGTACAACTATTATTGTTGCTACTACTGAGACTGTTGACAGAATGCGGATTGATGGTATCGATCGTTTTTAAGGAGATAGGGTTTAGACAACCCGGGGCCTCAGAAAGATTCAATTCATGATTCACCCGAACAGTGTCCAGTTTTGCCGCAGTCGACTTCTGAACGTCATTCAGTGACAGATTTGTCGGATGATCCTCATCTTTTGCCACTGTAGGGATTGAGAGTAGGTTTTGTTGATACATGAATGCAAGCAAGTGAGGTAGCATGTGCGGATTCTGACCAATATGGGCTGATAAGGAGGAGAGATAGTATGGATTGGATAAACTATCGTCCCAGGTGGGGAATTGGCCAGTGGGACAAGTCAGAGATCGATTTTTCCAAGCTAACGCATCCAGAGGATGGGGAAAAGAAAGTTTGCCCGATTGCATCAACCCCGGTTCCGGTGCAGACCTCTCTCGTCCATACGGCGGACTGATTGGGCTCATCCACGGACTGAAACCGGCTATTGTCGGATGCTGAGATGGAGGCGAATGATCGTGCCATGATTTTGTTGATATCTTGTTCTCCGTACAATCGGAGGGTTTTCTTGTGTCCCGGGTTCTATTCACTTGATCATCGGGTAACAATGACCGAGGGGAATCTTCCGACCGATGAGTTTGCATCAAACTGTTCAATTCACGCGATACAACAGTTACGTTTGGGGGAGTTTTGCCCGAATTAAAGGGGAACGGGGGTAGCAGTCGACGAGGATCAAAGTCGAACGTTGAATTCAACTGTTTCGGTCGGTATGAAGGAAACATGGACTTATCCATGGAGAATTTCTGTATTCCTTCAGCCTGATCATTGTGCCGATTCAGACGGAACGGATCCGAATGATGGGGTCCGCTTGGGCTGGATTTGTGAAATGGATCAGATTCGGTGATTCTTCTTAGTTTGTCCGCATGTGGTGATCCGGACAGCGGACGTTTTACTCCAAAACCTGTTCAAATTAAATTGATATAGGAGAATCTGGTTAACATGATTGACATGAGCGATAACCGACAAAATAAACAGATACAAATAGTCTGTTTCGAGGTTGGTATAGGTGATACTGAAACAGGTCTGTTGTACAGCTTTCACAATGCTACCGAAAACAGTCAGACTGTGAAAGTGTTATCTTTTCACGTTCGGTCACAAGCACATTTTATAGATAGCGTTTTCTGACAGCATATCAATTCGTGACAATCGCCGAACGATCTTGTTTGTGTGGCAACTTATTTGACTATCTGTTTGTCGACCAGGTGGTTTGACGCTTGACTGATTCGCTTTCCAACCGAGTCTATATGCATCAAAGGTGGACAATCAAGAGACCGTGACAGACCGTCGAACACGAATAGCTTTCATCTTTGTGTTGTTTCTAATGCTCCTCTTACAAAGTGGCACACACACAGACAAACTAACTTATCGGCCCTCACTTTAGCCCCACATCCCACAAGTGAGTGAGTTCGTTTTACGCTTCCTAAACACGTAGGTTTGGCTTTATTCACAAGGAAGTGCGAACATGCACCTTATCTTCATCGTCAACAGCATCATGAAAGCACAACGAAAACAACAGCAATACTATAGGCTATTAACCTAAACAGATGCACATGCTCACCTGACCGCTCGGTTGTTGTGGTTGTTCCGCCCTTCGGTCTATCCGCTCATCCATCCGTCTACAGTGATTTACTCCACGGTCGCAGTCAGCGACGCCTGTGGCGCTACCGTTACCTCATTTTCCACCCTTAATTTACTTTCATTCTTCGCCACCCCATTTATTTCCCGCTGTATCTCATAATTCAGCACTCCTGGTGATTGTATGTGTGTGTGTGTCTGAACGATAATGTTCGACCTCTTGCTCTTGTTCTCTGGCCCTCTCTCTCTAATTTTCGACATCATAGCAAACTGTCCGGGCCATTAAAAGCACCATCATGCTTCGATGCACGGGGAGGGAGTGAGCGAGAGAGAGAGAGCTGGATTTGCTAAGAGTTGAGAGTGGGAGCAGCAGGGTTGCAACACACACACACACAAGTGAAATAGGCAAAAGGACACGAAGGTGACTTGGTTTGCGTGTTCATGTGTATTTGGCGGTCACTTCCAATTTCCCTGAAGCACGCGCGCACAGATGCACACTGACGGAAGCAAATAACCGTGCGTACACACATTCTGATTCGCGTCGCCACGGTCGTAGTCCGGGTCGCGCGGGTGGCTTCACTCGAAAGTTCATATAAGCACACACACATACAATCCACTAAACATGTTCTCGTCATGCCAATTAACGTTCCCCAAAAGAACGTTGGGATCGGTTTGGAAAAAGACTGGCAAGCATGCAAGCAGACAACCAGCAAGTAAAGGGTCGAACAGTGAGTGCGGGCCCAAGCGAAACGGACAGGCCCGCATTCATTTACCAATCTATCTATCCATCCAATCGTCCATCATTTTTGCTGTCCTGATACTTTACCCTCCATTTAGAGTGTCATAATCAGAATAGTGTTATTACACCCTGACATACGCACAAGTGTGTGTGTGTGTGTGTGTGCGTCAGCGGACAGGTGAGTAGTGACAACGACAAATAGAACAGCTAGTTGGAATACACATGTCAATTCTCGTTCGAGGGAATCGAACTCACGTTTCAGCGTAGGATGCTTCGAGCGGTGCGGATGCAGATCGGAATCAATGCACGCGGATTTCTCGTTCAGCTCAACATCAGGATCGAACTCGTCCGCTTCATGCTCGTTTTCTGAGTCCGATGACGCGTGATTGGATCCGTCCATACCGTCACATGATTCATCAACGGGATGATGGTGTGCCGGTCGTGGGACGACACTTTTCGTATTGTCTCCACGTCTAAAATGACCAATAAAAAGACGGGATTCGGTAAATTTTTATCAAATATTCCCCCACTTCTCGCTATTGTAGTTAAATGAAATAGATCAAGTAATGAAGTAAAAGAAGAGACCATTTTGCAATAATAAACGAATTAGGTCCAGGACGATATCGTTGCATCTCAAGTAAAATGTTGTCAGAGTAAATTTGTACAGTCAAGCTAGCTGTTGAATAACAATTGTTTAATTGTCTAGTTTACAATTTAATTTAATCCGTATGGTGAGGTTAAATCCTACAAACCCACGTTTTTTGTTATACAGGAATGATGCCAAAATTAGGAAAACAATTCTATTTGATCAGACGGACTTTGTAGAGGTTTTTAGTTAGCCCCTCGGAACAAACGCAGAGCTGACACTGTGGGTAAACGGGGGTGGGTTTTTTGGTAAAGTAATTTCGTCGGTTTTTGTTTTTGTATACGAGTTATATTTTTTCGTTGGCACAGTAGAGAGCGTCCCCCAATCGTAATTGATCTATTCGGCTGAACAAATAAGCCAAATTGGTTACGTTTGAATCACAGTGGTGGATTACGGAATCCATTAAGGTGAACAATCATATCTTTGGCCGAATGCATCCAACTAGGTCCGTCAAACTAGTTGGCGTATCACAATTTTAGCCAATATTCCTTGCCGTCAACTACCATCTGATGAGTTATCCTCAATGGACAAAACCCGACAATTCTGCTCTCATACAGTCGAACTGATTTCAGTGTGTGTGTGTGTGTGATATGTGTACTGAGATCGGGCGTGCGGACTGTGCACCATTTCGCACATGACCATGACACTGACAAAATTAGATCATGATTGTTGAACAAGATCACCTTTATCTATGCAAAAGTAACGTTCCAATTAGGAAATACTCAAATTGCTATGCTTAATCTCAGTCATTTGCAAGGTATAGACGTACTTTTTATCACGTCTTCCACCTCCGGTTTCACGAAATCCTTTCGCGAATGGGTTATGGTCAATTTTCAGTTGTGTTATCTGGAAAATCGTGGGCACATGGGCAATCGGGTGAGGAAGAGGAAAAAGAGAAATACACACTAATTAATCATTCAGATCGATGCATTGTTTTACTTCATTAAACTGCGATTGCCTATGTACAAGGACGAGGAGAGGGGGCATATATATATATATACACACACACACACATGGTGGGAGATCCCGATGAGCATGCTCTAAACATGAACAATAGTTCACGCTTTGTGGCTGTCTTTTTCCACTGATCTCATTTGGTTTGTAGCAGACAAAAATGACGTATGTATGGCAAAAATAAGCACACTTCGCAATCACTAGACTGAATTTTGGTCAGAAGAGAAATTGTACGAGGGAGTCCGTCGAGAATGTGTGTGTGTGTGTGTGTATGACGGCGAGACTGGCGTGATGAGATGTATTTAGTTAAATGGGCACATGGTG